GCTCACTGCAAGCTCCACCTCCCGGGTTCATGTCGTTTTCCTGCCTCAACCTCCCGAGTAGCTGGGACTACAGGCACCCGCCACTGCGCCCGGCTAATTTTTTGTATTTTTAGTAGTGACGGGGTTTCACCGTGTTAGCCAGGATGGTCTCGATCTCCTGACCTCATGATCCACCCGCCTCCGCCTCCCAAAGTGCTGGGATTACAGGCGTGAGCCACTGTGCCTGGTCTGCATTTTAGGTTTTTTAATTGAAATATAATTCACATACAAAATTTCACATAACACAGATTTCAGCTTTTTGAAGTACACAGTGTGTTGGTTTTTAGTATTGACAAAGGTTGTGCACCCATCACCACTATCCAATTCCAGAACGTTTTCGTCACCCCAAAAATAAGCCCTGTAGCTCACTCCCAGTTCCCTCTTGCTCCCATCCTCTGGCAACCAAGAATGTGCTTTTGTCTCTAGGGATTTGTCTGTTCTGGACATTTTACAGAAATGGAGTCATGCAGCTTGACATGTTGTGTCTGGCTTCTTTCCCGTAGCGGAATGTTTTCCAGGTCCATCCGTGTTGTAGCATGAATCAGTATTGCATTCCTTTTCGTGGCTGTATAATCCATTGCATGGATGGACCCTGCTTTATTTAACCATTCCTCAGGGGATGGACCTTTGGGTTGTTTCTACCTATTGTGTATGATGCTGCCATGACCATTCATGTGTAAGTTGTTGTGTAGACATGTTCCAGTTCTCTTGGGTGTATACCTAAGAATTGATTGGGTCATGTGGTAAGTATATTTAACTTGAGGAATCATCAGACTGGTCTTCCAACATGGCTGCACCATTTTACATTCCCAGCAGCCATGTATGAGGATTCCAATTTCTCTACGACCCCTTCAGTACTTGTTTACCTGTCTGTGTTTTGGATTCTAGCCAGCCTAGTGGGTGTGAAGTGGAATGTCTTTGTGGTTTTGATTTGTGTCTACCTGATGACAGATGACGCTGAGCATCTTTTCCTGTGCTTACTACCCATTTGTGTATCTTCTTTGGAGAAGTTTCTCTCCTAACCAAGTTGTCACTTTCCACATTTGATGTCTTGTTAAGAAAAGTCAGTCTTAGGCCGGGCACAGTGGCTCATGCCTGTAATCCCAGCACTTTGCAAGGCCGAGGCGGGCGGATCACAAGGTCAGGAGATCGAGACCATCCCGGCAAACACGGTGAAACCCCGTTTCTACTAAAAATACAAAAAATTAGCCGGGCGTGGTGGCGGGTGCCTGTAGTCCCAGCTACTCGAGAGGCTGAGGCAGGAGAATGTTGTGAACCCGGGAGGCGGAGGTTGCAGTGAGCCGAGATCGCACCACTGCACTCCAGCCTGGGCGACAGAGCCAGACTTTGTCTCAAAAAAGAAAAAAAAAAAAATCAGTCTTTTGGCCAGGCGTGGTGGCTCACGCCTGTAATCCCAGCACTTTGGGAGGCCGAAGCGGGCCAGGAGTTCAAGCCTGGCCAACATGGTGAAACCCGGTCTCTACTAAAAATACAAAAAATTAGCTGGGCATGATGGTAGGTGCTTGTAATCCCAGCTACTCAGGAGACTGAGGAGTCGTTTGAACCTGGGAGGCGGAGGTTGCAGTGAGCCCAGATCATGCTGCTGTACTCCAGCCTGGGTGACAGAGTGAAACTCGGTCTCAAAAAAAAAAAAAAAAA